TAAAATTGCGGCTATTTTACGATTATACTAAAGCGAAGCAAGTTACGCCGGCCGATGATTTATGCTTAAATGATTTAAAAGTGCGTGTATAATAGCGGAATATTTTTAGTTGGCATAATCGAATAATAGTCTGTACTCGCATGACACAAGCGTCGAGCCGAGCCGAGCCGAGCCGACCGTCGCCACCGCCACCGCCACCGACACCGCCGAGTTTCGCATGAGCGAAACACAAATGCAGCCATGTACACTATAAAAAGTCTAAAATTACCATTACGCCTCGGAATAAAGTTGATTGAAACGTCGCTTAACAACGTTTCCGAGAATGTTTGTGCGCGTGCGCGCATGCATGCTCGATTGACAGTTGAGAATACGTGTACTGTGTGCAGTTGGCGGTAAATCATAGCGCGTAGTGCGCGAGAGAGACGATTTATATTGATTTTGCGATCTCGTTGCGCTAGAAGCAGTCGCAATTAGAGATCGAGCAAAGTGCCGCTTTGATAATTTGCTGTTTCTTTTTTTTTTTTTTTGCTTCTTTGCTGTTTTGCTAGTTTGCATTTTTGACTGCGTCTTACCGTCCCCTCCGTCAATCCCTTACACCCATGCCACCGCTGCTTCACCGTGGCTTCGGATATCATCGTGACACGTGCCCGTAAGGCGTAAAGTCGCGCAAAGCAGCGACTCGCCTCGTCCCAAGAATTGTCATCGATATCCGCCACTCAAACAAATCAATATTTTAAATAAATCATTTGTTGGATCATTTATCGGACGCCGTAAGAGATCGCTTTATCAACGTGAACATAAATTACCAAAAATCTCACCACCCGGACCACGCGATAAATATCGCGATAATAACTCGATGCTCATCCAGCATCCAATAGTCAACGATGTTTCCCGTTGACCAGTTAATTCGGCGCATTCGACCGACCGTTTCGCGATCAAACTCCCAGTTTTCGCATCTCATGCGAAATCGCGATTAGAAAATTCTTAGCCGCACAGCAGCCTTACAGATAACAACTAAGAACGGCACGGCGCCATCAACGAGCAAGACAAATTTAGCTGCGCTCGCGCGCTCACATAAATTCCCAGCTACGATATGCAATTATTAATCCAGGTCGTTAAATTGGAAAGACGGTGCTAACGGCTCCGATCAATGCCGCTAAACGCCCTTGGCCGACGCAAGATCTCGCAATTAGCAGGAACAGACGTCAACGCCGAGCCCATGGGTCGACGATTCTCCCGTTTCTGCTCTGGTGGATCTGCGAAAAACATCGAATCGCATCCAAGTGGACGGACGGGCGAAATACGCGCAAAGGCGTTATCAGCTTCGGAGGAGGACACGTCGTCGTGGTCGTCATGATCGTCGTCGACTCCGTGATCTCCTGCAGTTTCCTCCATTACCTACGCTCAATGCGGCGGCGAGACGAATTTTTTACATCGCAACTTACCGACTCGGAGTCGCCGCGCGAGCCTCACCGCCCCACGGTACCACTGCCGCCGTCGCCGCTGCCGCCGCCGCCACCTCTTCCGCCTCCACCACCTCCTCGTCCTCCTCCTCGTCCTCCTCGTCCACGGTTACCACCTCCACTGCCACTACCACCACCACCGCCACCACCTCCACCGCCGCTACCGCCGCCACCACCACCATCACCACCACCACCGCCGCCACCGCCACTACCCCTACCACTACCACTACCACTACCACTACCACTACCACTACCACTACCACTACCACTACCACTACCACTACCACTACCACTACCACTACGACTATCACTGCCACCACCATCGCCATCACCACCCTTTGCCGTCGCGGTACCACGCCGACGAGGCAGCGCTCGCCGACATGCCCCCACCAACGCCGGTCCGCGAACTCGGCGCGCACGCCTGTTCCCCGCCGTGCGAATACCAAACCGCTGAATGTTGTGCAGTTGCGGGTCCGAGTCGCTCCTCAGTCGCTTCTCGTCCCCCGTCGCGTTCGCGCGTGCGTTCTTCTCGCCTCTCACGTGTGTTAACGTCCGTTCTCCGCGTACACGCGCACACACGCACACGCACGCACGCACGCGAAATCGCTCACTCACTTACACACACACACACACACACCCACCCACACACACACACACACACACACACACACACACCCACACACAAAAACACACGCGCACACGCACGCACAGGCATAGACACACACTTATGCGCCAAATACACCAATAGCCATATATACGCAGCCCACAGGAGATATATAGAGACAGGCTCGTCCGCTCTCTCGCTAACCGATCAGCCGACCTACACGAGAGATATCCACACGACGAAGACGGCGACGATCGCGACCACGACCACGACCACGAACACGACCACGATCACGACCACGACCACGATCACGACCACGACCAAGACCAGAACTTACGACCGCTACGACGAAAAGGGCAAAGACGATCACTAAGCCCACGAGCACGACGACGAGCACGACCACGTCGACGAATACAACGACGACGACGACGACGAACACGACGACGACGACGACGACGACGACGCAGACAAAGACGAAGACGAAGACGAAGACGAAGACGAAGACGACAAAAACGATAACTGCAGCGGTGGCAGCGGCAACGGCGCTACAACGACAATAACACGTACACACCACACGGTCAGCAGTAGGAGCACGTTATTAACGCACGCACGGATCCCGTACACAGGTACAAATAGCACACGCGTTCACCCCCCGCTGTGGGTGCCCGTGTGCACACGTATATACCCACGTATCGGCACGCGTCCGTCGAGGTTTTTTTAACAAACGCAGTGTGTGCCAGTGCCTCATCATCGTTAATGTAGTTATTCCCTCACTCGTTCCTTACCTCGCTCACTTTATCCCTCTCGCTCTTTCAATCTCAATCTTGCACGCGCCCGGTCTCTCTCTCTCTCTCTCTCTCTCTCTCTCTATCTCTCTCTCTATCTCTCTCTTCCTCCCCATTCGACACTCGTGTGCGGCGCGCCCGCGCCCACACACACACATGCACGCACGCACACGCACACAGAGAGACACACATGTAATTCGTTATCAATGCGCCTTTGTCGCAAGAGCTCGTGCACTTGCATCAAGGTGGTCAGTCGGTCGGTCGGTCGGTCGATCGATCGATATTAGATTGTGTGCGTGTTTGTGCATGCATGCATTTGCACGCGCGTGCATATACGCATGTGTAGGCACCCGCGTGTCTGTGCGCGCGCGCGCACGCACATGTGTGCATGTGCAGCAGCGATATCGAACGTGTCCGTTTTTTTCAGTCCTCCTTGGACACTTTTGATTAAGCTCGCCGGGGTTGGTGGGGATGTTTATTTGTGTTACCGAGCGCGTCTTCGTGTGTCGTCACTGCCGAAAAGCATTTGTTGTTTTTCGATAAAGCCTCGTTGCACTCGTATATTCCATCGATAAAACTAAGCTGGGGAGAATAAGAACGGGAATGATAAGAGAAAGAGAGAGAGAGAGAGAGAGAGAGAGAGAGAGAAAGATGATAATAATTGCTGAGGTGTGGGAGAGCGGAGGCAATTTTCGCCTTCAGCTGCTACGGATTTCACGGGCAACGCATTAGTGTGGGAGGAGGAGAAAGAGGACGACGACGACGACGAAAGAGAAGGAGAATAAGAGGTGGGGGAGGGCAGTGCGTGCGCGAGTTCCTTTTAATGATGTAGGAGAAGCAATATTAATTCGCGCGTGTCCTAAGAAAAATATTAACGAGGAATTGTGCGGAGTGAATAAAGATTTGATGGAAAATTATATAAACTAAATAAATAAATAAATAAAAGAAAAAATAAGTAAATAAATAAAGATATTAAGAGAGAAAGAATGAAAGAAAGAAGAAATTAGATAATAGGATGTTGGGTGACGTTGGGCAACGGTGGGGTGTTGAATTATCATTTCTCTTACCTCTGGCACTACGTCGCGTATGCACACGTGTACGACGGCGCAGTTTCCTCTTCTCTCTCGCTTCCCCACTCTGTCTCTCTCTCTCTCTGTCTCTCTCTCTCTCTCTCTCTCTCTCTCTCTTTCACTCCCTCACTCCCTCTCGCGTACCTTTCTTTAAAGAGGTCCGCGTGTTGCTTCTTCGTCGGCGCCGCGAGTGCGACAGCCAATCGCGTCCCGATGTTGTTTTTCCGTCGCGAGCGTCCTAGTAGTGCGCGCGTGTTCGCTTTCGATTATCGCTCCCTCTTTCTCTTTTCCTCACTCGTTCTTTTCATTTCTTTTTTTCTCGACGTTATTGTGCATCGCGACTTGCGGTCTCGTGCGCACTCGCGCGGCTCTTATTCGCCGTCTCGAACATCGACACGTTGAACGGTGAGGCACAAGAACTCACAACGTCTCTTTTTCCTTTTTGCAGGATATTTTGTGCATTAGGGAGTAATTGGCGAGGGCTCGACCGGAAGAGGAACAGGAGAGAAACACGAGCCCGAAACGTGGTGTTGGTGATATATTCGAGTGCGGATTGTATATATATATATATATTATACACATATTGCAAATACAATTACATAACTTACACGAAAACGCAGCCCGCGCATATTAATACACACACGCGCGCGCGCGCGCGCACACACACACACA